GTTCACAAAGGTTCGGATTTCAACTTTGAATACGATCAAGTGTTCCGTAACCCCTGAGGGTCGTAGGGGCATCACACACACTACAGCTGATGCAACAGTGGGTGTTCTCTAGGTATGTTAGTTTGACGAAACCTAATCTTCTGCTGGCAGATTGAAATTCAGTTTCCTTCTCCTAGACTGGTTGCCATGTAAGGCTATAGGGACCTGCCTTTCCTGCTATTTTATCCATAGTTGGGGAGGAACGATGAATTCATGCCTTTTCCAAGGCACATCAAGGAATGTAATGAACTCGATTGGAATTCCAACATAGATCTCTGAGGACTCAGTTCGAACTCAGATCTCCATTTCTCCATTGTGCAACCCACACATCAAAGAAAAACAAAATGATTTAGATTAAATTAAAATTCAAAACTTCTCATCTTTTTTAGCTCCCAAAATTTGTAGCAAAAAATTGCTTATGTGTAGGCGCTTTACAATCTTCTTCTTCTGTAAATGTGGCTTGGGCGATCATGGCTCTTCAACTTCCTATCGTTTGTAGATGTAAGCAATATTTCCCTCCTTGCTATCCCTCCCAATTCATGTCCTGCCATCCACTTACACAAGCTCATCAGGGAGGTTGATTATGGCTCTCCACAACTTCCTATCATTTGTAGCTCTAAGCAATATTTCTCTTACTATTTCCCGAATCCTTATTCTACCACCCATTTACACAAGCTCGTTAAGTACGTTGATCACGGCTCTCCACAACGTCCTATCCTTTGTAGTTCTAAGCAATGTTTGTCTCCTTACTATTCCTCCCATCACATAAGTTTGTCAGGTAGATTACTCGCTGTTTCTCTTAGACTCTTGGCCTTGCCTTGTGAGTGTCAAATTCTCCAAGGTCTGTTTCCTCATTATGTGTATCAGAAATTTCAACTGTTTCTTTTGATTCTAATTATATGTTCTTTTTGTTTGTATATTCTTTAAAATTTCTTCGGTGCCTACACGTCCTGGTCTATAGTATTCTCATCATCCTTCGGTAGAACCACAACTCTGTTGCCTCAAGTCAGGAAATTATCCCGTATTCGCTACCATATACAAGGATTGATAAAAGCGTAACAGTACAGCATTTATGTTTGTGCCTAATTATTTCCTGGTTTTCTAATACATTGTAGGAGACATTTTTTGGGAGACATTTTTTGGGAGACATTTCTTTTGGGAGACATTTCTTTTGCTATTCCAACGCATTCCCGTAATTCGGTGTCAAAATTTAAATATTTCTTTAAGAAATTATGGCGTTTTACTGACGTTAGATAAAAAACGACTTTCCTAGCGACTGTATTTGGGTATTAAAGAAAAAACATAGAGAAACAATGTTACGAGAAAATCTTGGCGGTGTGGGGGCAGAAATGTTCTAAGATTGATCAAAAACTCTTTCACTAAAAATGTTAGTCATTTCGACATATTTTGGGAAGTAATTCAAACCGAGAACTTTTCAAGAAACTGGTTTACAAAGAGTGATATATATATATATATATATATATATATATATGAAGAAAAATATATACGGAAAAAAACAAAACAAAAATCCTTATATACAATTATGCTGTTTTAATGTTAATATGTCAACGTCGGACATTTCGGTCTAATAAACCATCTTCAGGACATATTCATAAATTATAACATTATCAATACAACATGACAAAGACGATTTACATAAGAACAAGACTTATCCAAACAAATAACTGAAAGTTTTATAAGATCAGCGCTCCATTAAAACAGCATAATTGTATATAAGGATATTTATTTATATATATATATATATATATATATATATATATATAGATAGATAGATAGATAGATAGATAGATAGATAGATAGATAGATAGATAGATACGAATAAACTGAGATAGAGAGAGAGAGTCAGAGACAGACAGATAGATATGAATAGATAGACTGATGATAGATCGATCGATCGATCGATCGATAGATAGATAGATAGATAGATATGAACAGACTTAGATAAATGTAATTTGATGTCTGATAATTCTGGAAAAATGGAATGAATGTTTATTTTTGTTTTAATTCATTTATCTGTCAACTTTTTTCATTCACCTTCTGCTACTTTTTCTTCTTTACACTTGTTCATCCGACATCTTTCTTTCCATCCTCCTCCCCCTCCTCCCCTCCTCCTCCTCCCCTCCTCCTCCTCCCCTCCTCCTCATCATCATCATCATCACGGATAAATTGGAAAAAAAGAAATATAAAGAAAAAGGAAGAAAATGACATTTCTGTCAAGTAGAACGGCAAAGAGAAAAATGGTTGAAAGTGTGTGTGGGGAGGAGGGTATGAAGAGAAGATGGCAGAATGTGAAGAAGAAGAAGAAGAGGGGAATAAGGTGGAGGAGGTATAATAGTTGATGCAAAAAGAAGGAGGAGGAAAATGGAAGGAGGAGGAGATTAATCGCGTCCGCGGCAGAAATGTTGTAGAAGGAGAGGGTGAGGAGAAGAGGGAGGAGAAGAGAGGAGAGGTTAGGAGAAGGAAGGGAGAGAAAGAAAGTGAGGAGGAAAAAGATTAGTGCGGATTTTTCAGCGGTTAAATATTTAGATGATGATGAGTGGAGGGAAGAAGAAGAAGAAGAAGAAGAAGAAGAAGAAGAAGAAGAAGAAAATCAAGTAGAAGATAAATATCACGGCAATGACAGGAATATCGTGACGACGATGATCATGATGATCATGATGATGACGACAATGATGATGATGAGGATTATGATGATGATGACGACGAGGACGACGATGATGACGATGATGATGATGACGATGATGATGATGATGACGACGAGGACGACGATGATGACGATGATGATGATGAGGATTATGATGATGATGACGACAAGAACGACGATGATGGCGATGATGATGATGACGATGATGATGATGATGATGACGACGAGGACGACGATGATGACGATGATGATGATGAGGATTATGATGATGATGACGACAAGAACGACGATGATGGCGATGATGATGATGACGATGATGATGATGATGACGACGAGGACGACGATGATGACGATGATGATGATGAGGATTATGATGATGATGACGACGAGGACGACGATGATGGCGATGATGATGATGACGATGATGATGATGACCACGACGACGACGACGATGATGATGATGATGGTAAAAACGCATATCTATTTGCTTATCCATAAAAGACGGAAGAAAAAAAAAAGTGAATGACATTTAGAAGAGGAGAGAAACAATCATAGAAGAGAATAGAAAGAAAGAAAGAAAGAAAGAAAGAAAGAAAGAAAGAAAGAAAGAAGAAAACTTATCCAAACTTTTAGGAGACGGTGTTTAAAAGACAAAATTATATGCTCTTGAAACTTTCCTTTTCAAAGAGAAAAAAAATGTTAAAAATAAATAAAAACAAGAATTTCATTTCAAAATATGAAACAAAGAAAATATTTTTGTATCGGATTTTGGGCGTTACCAAAAAAAAAAAAAAAAAAAGAAAGAAAAGAGAAACTCCCGCCATTTTCCAATGTTCGCGGTATTCTTGCTTTTTGGCGCGAATATTTTCCCGCGTTGTCCCTTGTTCGCTTCTTACGTTTCGCCAGGTGGCATTTTCATTTAAACTTTTTTCTATTTTTAGATGAATTCATTATGTTGTTTATTGACAACTTTTTGAATGAAAAAAAAAAACCCAGAGAAGCCGATGCTGTGTGTGGGGGCGCAGTGTAGGTGCAGGGTGAGTCTGCGAGAACAGCGATAGTGGGATGGGGTAGGGAAATGACTGGGACAGTTGGTATTTTTGAATTGTCCTGTAAACTGCAGATATATATTTAATGAAATCAATTAAACCACAGTTGCATATTTTTAATTAATTAATTAAAAATTAGTTTTTCTATTGTTTTGTCTTGGTTTTAATTGAAAAAAAAAACAGAAAATTGTTTTTAATTTGAAAATTGCTAAATATTAAAAATCAAATATGGCATTATATATATATATATATTTTTTCTCAACAAAAGTTAACTAAAAACGTATTTTCTGTAGAATATATTCGGGTAATGAATATAAAAGGGGAACAACTAGGATAGATAAGGAGAGCCGATCAAAACCCCTCACTCACAGATTTTGATATTTGATAATTTAGCTGTTTTGAGAAATTGGTCGAGCCAAGAACTCATCAGTATACCTTAGATAGATAGATAGATAGATAGATAGATAGATAGATAGATAATGAACAAAGATAGATTTGAAATCAGTGAAAGATCTTCATTTTTGGAAGCATTTTACCCCCTCCCCAAAGAAGGCAACTGATGAGTTCTTGGCTAGGCCATAGATAATGAACGGACTTAGATAGATAGATAGATAGATAGATAGATAGATAGATAGATAATGAACGGACTTACATAGATAGATTTTTGGAAGCATTTTACTCCCTCCCCAAATAAGGTGATAAAGCTTCATTCGTCCGTTCATTGAATATAAATAACATATCTGATCTGTTGCTCCTCCTGTATATCTCGGGATTCTTGAAAAAATCCAAAGAAGGATCTGCAATATAATCAGTCTTCATCTGGCATCTCGATTTCATCCAATTTCCCATTCGTCTTGACGTGGCTTCCCTCTGTCTTTTCTATAGATATTTTTATGGCAATTTTCCTCATGAGCTTCTATCCGGGTATTTTGGCCATATGAATTTAAGCGTACTACTAGACTGGAGAATAGCTCTCGCCGTTTTACCGTTGAAAGAGCTGGATAGAACCGTAAGTTTTATTCTAATAGTGTCTTCCCTCGCACTTCTCTACTGCGGAACTCTCGTCCAGTTTCTTGCTTCTCTGCCACCTACACTTTAAAAAAATGAAAATGTAACGCAAATCGCCATCTTTCACCTTCCTGAAACCCGTTCTTTTATTGTCCTTTCTTTTCATCAACGTATTTTCATTTTCTTTCACTCTCTGTACGCCCTGACGTTTTAGAAGCTTTATCGTCTTTATTGGGAGGGAGGGGGTGAAACGCTTCCAAAAAATGAAGATCTTGCACCTGATCTCAACTATGACCTAGCTCTAACTACTCAATGAGGGAAAAACAGGCATGAAACTTTCAATATCTGAATTTTCTCCAATCATAATAATCTTTCAATCCTAAATAGATTTCCATTCTTGGAACCTCTGCTGGCTCTCATATGCATTCCAAATCTCAAGTGAAACCCATATATAATATGTATTCCTAAAGGTGCTGAGTTTTTATTGATTTATTCGTTTTTTACGGATTATCAACCCTTTGCAGGTTATTTAAAGTCAGAAAATATTTGTAACTGGGGGGAAGAAGGTGAATTAATACGTTCCCAAGGGTATCTGAGCGTAAATGAATCTAACGAACCCAACTGGAACTGAAACTCGGCTCTCCGATTAACAATTCTGAGCCATTATCCATTACACCACCCACACATCCAAGCTTACAACCTCTGGCATTCCCAAGCGGTCACCCATCTCGGTAGTGACAAGGATCGACGTTGCTTAACTTTGGTAATTGTGCACGCGAATCTGTTGCCCCAAGAAGGACCTGATTCCTTCTGACATGCTCAATCACATCAAAATGGCGTATTTCTGCCATACCTTGGCTGCAATTACATAATCCAAAATTTGATAAATTTCGAAACATTACGTAGATTTGTTGGGGGGGGTGACTCAAATGTTCAGATGAACGCTCCATTCGTTAGTTTCTTCATTTCTTCAATATTTCAAATGTAGGGAAAAAAAAGTTGGAACTGCCACTTTTGAAAAAATTAATTCACTTCATACAAGGCGATAATGACATTAAGATACAAAGGACTGTTCGGAGTGAAAGAGAATGAAAATATTATAGAGAGAACCGGAAACACCATCCTAAATAGGGAATAAGGGATAAACCTCTACACCTGGAAGGAGCGAGAAACGGGCGATAGGCGAATTTATCTACACCTTTTGAGAAAAAATAACTAAATAATCAATATGAAGGCAGAGTTTAGTGGGAGACGTTAGAATTATAGAGTTGAAGTAGACTTTAGAAGGAACCGGAAACCGAATCGTAAAAAGAAAAGAAACAATAAAAATTTAATACTATTAAAATAAAACCTCTACTCCTACTGAAGGAAGAAAATAAATAAATAACATTTCAGAGTTTAGGTGGTGACGTTAGAAGTATAGAGTTGAAGTAGACTTTAGAAGGAACCTGAAACCCAATCCTAAACAGGAAACAAGGGATAAACCTCTACTCCTATTCAAAAAACCTATCTACTCCTACTGAAGGAAGTAAATAAATAACATTTCAGAGTTTAGGTGGAGACGTTAGAAGTATAAAGTTGAAGTAGACTTTAGAAGGAACCGGAAACCCAATCCTAAACAGGAAACAAGGGATAAACCTCTACTCCTATTCAAAAAACCTATCTACTCCTACTGAAGGAAGAAAATAAATAACATTTCAGAGTTTAGGTGGAGACGTTAGAAGTATAGAGTAGACTTTAGAAGGAACCGGAAACCAAGTCATAAACACGAGACGAGACATAAACCTTCACTCCTGTTCACAAGACTTGGGCGGAATGCGAGTCGGCTGATTTTCTGAATAAACTCCCACGTGGATGCTTCTCTGAACACTACAATCTTAAATAAAAAAAGTCAACAGTCAATTGTTATCTATCCTCCTTATCGTCATAATCTACACTTCCTATCACCTTCTATTTCATTCATATCAAACAAGTGATTCATCATAACCTTTTTAATAGCAGTGCTCCATCTTGTGTAGCTCTTGAGCCTTATATTGGGAGAATTCTAGCATGAAAGAGAGTATTCAAATATAACTGTATTAGTCAAGCAACAGAATAGACATAATATTACCCGCGATTCCCATAAAAACTGGTGTCAAGGAAGAAATATTTGACCTGGTCCATACAGGTGCATACGTGTTCAACTCTTCTCCCACTAGATATGGGTTAATTAGTAAGAATTGTATCACCAAATCATTATTATCTCAAAAAACAATTCTGATCTAAAAATATTCTCTGGCTTTAAATAACCTGCAGAGGGTTGATAAACCGTAAAACATGAATCAATCAATTAATGAAATACTGATTACCTACACAGACATTTAGATTTATTTTCAGTTTATATATTGATTGTAATATAGGATTGATCCCCCACTTTTATATCCACATCATAATTTCTTATTTGTTTATCAAATTCTGATTAGGTATAAATCCACCTCTTCTCACCCAGCTATGGGTTAATTAGTAAGATTCATATCATTAAACCAAACAATCTAAGAATATTTTCTGGCTTTAAATAACCTGCAAAGGGTTGATAAGCCGTAAAAATGAATCAATCAATCAATGAAATCCTGATTAGCTGCACAGGCATGTATTTTAGATTTATTTACATTCTCTGGAATATAAATGTATGAAAACTAACCACAAAAGGAGGGATCAGTTTATATATTGATTGTAATATAGAATTGATCCCCCACTTTATATTCACATTATAATTTTTTGTAGGCATGTCTTTAGATTTATTCAAATTATCTGAAATATAAATTTATAGATAGTATCGTGGCCACAAAGTGAGTGATCATTTTATATTTACATTGTTATATAAAATTGATCCCCCACTTTATAGCCACATTATAATTTCTTGCCGTCATGTCTTTTAGATTTATTTACATTCTCTGCATATAAATGTAGAGAAACTAACGTGGTCAACAAGTGAGGGGTCTGTTTATGTGTTGACTGTAATTTAGAATTGATCCCCCAATTTATATCCACATTATATTTTCTTGTTTGTTTATCAAATTCTGATTAGGTATGAAGCGACCTCTTCTCCTCCAGCTATGGGTTAATTAGTAACATTTTACGCATCTAAGGCCCTACAAAAGTTAATTTGTACAATTCAGATCCTGGAACATGTGGGAGAACCGTTCTGCCTGACTGTCTCATTTATTGCCGGGTTATTTTGGGAAGTAAGAAGCGACCGGATTAATAAGGTACATAATCTTCCAGTGTATGTCGGAAAGAAATATATTTTTAAATATGTTTCAGTTGAAAATGGAATTTCTGACAACTGATGAGGCGAATTCAATGATATCTGAATTTTTATGCACCGAATCAACTTTTATTCTGTCAGTAATAATAATAATAATAATAATAATAATAATAATAATAATAATAATAACTACATCATATTTAAACAGTAAATAATATTGTTTATCTCTAAATTTTGTCAGAAAATAATCCAAGGGTTTGAAATATATTGCGGGCATAAACAGATATAAGTGAAGAGATAGATAGATAGATAGATAGATAGATAGATAGATAGATATGAACAAACTGAGATAGATAGATAGATAGATAGATAGATAGATAGATAGATAGATAGATACATACTTCTCGTCCCGCCATTCGATTTTCATTTAATGTATTTGCCACAATTTCGAATGTTGTTTTTCAAGACAAATAGGTTTCCCCAGTTTGGTGCATCACAATCTTCTCCGTGTGTAGATATTTTCTTTAGTACAAGCCCATAATGACAAGGCCACCAGTTAGAATCGAACTCACTACGCTAGCAATGTTTTACGAAACTAGCTTGTCAAATATCGTTTATATTCTTGTCTCTCCCGCCCCAAATGACTCGCCATTATCATTTCACAATTGACGGAAAAAACACAAACCATTCCCCCATGACTATTGCTACTGCCCAAGTGGTCCACAGTTTAATCAGCTATTTCGTTTATTGTCAACCCTCTGACGAGGCCAAAAATCCTAAGATCGACTTATATACGAGGGTATATGGCAATAATTTAAACTGTAGACCGTTGAACCCTGAAACAAACGGTATACAGAATCGAGTCGGTACAGGGGGAGGGACGGTGTAAATTAGAACAAAGGGACGAAGAAAAAGAAAAAATAATAATAATAATAATATATATATATATATATATATATATATATATATATATATATATATATATATACAAAGAGTGCAAAGAGAACAGAGAAAATGAATAAAGAAAAAGAGAAGGAGGAGAAAAAGAAAACAACGAGAAAAAGAAAAAAGGAAAGATATATATATATATATATATATATATATATATATATCAATCAAGGGCGTGAGGGAGTGGGACAGTGGGGCGGAAGAAAGGGAAGAATAGAAGGCAGAGAGGCGGAGCAAAAGAAAGAGAGAGCAGGGCTGAAGGAGGAGGGATGAAATAAAGAGGGCGGGTTAAATATATGGGGATAGAGTCGAGAGAAAAATGATCAAATGGTTATCAGAGATTTTACAAGACTGTAAATGTACTGGTGTATAGCGTTATTTAAACGGCTATTTTGTTTTTCTACGACCAACGGAAATGAATAGTTACGAGAAAGGGGAGGCGAAGAAGAATGAAAGGGAACGATGAAGAGTGGAAGAAGAAGAAGAAGAAGGAATTGAATGAAAGTATGAAGAAGAATAAATGACCAAGTGGAGGAGTGGAAAATGAAGAAGAAGAAGGCATGAAAGACAAGGTTGAAACGTCGAAGAAAACGGGATATTGAATGAATGAAGGAATGAACGGTGAAAAGAAAAGAAAATAAATAATTACGTGAAGGAGAAAAAAGAATAAATCAATGAATGAAAAAGGAAGTTGACGTGCAGAACTTCAAAAAAAATGAAATATGAAAAGAAAAAAAAAAAAAAAGAAGAAGAAAAAATGAAAAAAGAATAAATAAATAAAAGATGCATTAGAAAAATTAATTTTACCATAAATTATACATTAAAATGATTTTACTATAAAATGCATTAAAATGATTTTTATAAAATATTAAAAATGATTTTAAAAATGCATTAAAAATGATTTTACTATAAAATGCATTAAAAATGATTTTACTATAGATATAAAAAATAATTTTACTAAAAATGCATTTTGATTTTTAAATGCATTAAAATGATTTTTTACTATTTTGCTATAAAATGCATTAAAATGAAAAACGATTTTACTATAGATAAAATATTTTATTAAAAAAATATTTTTTACTATAAAAATTTTACTATAAAATGCATTAAAAAATAATTTTACTATAAATTGCATTAAAAATGATTTTTTACATTAAAAAATTTTACTATAAAAATGCATTAAAATAATTTTACTATAAAAATGCATTAAAATGATTAAAATGATTTTACTATAAAAATATAAAATAATTTTACTATAAAAAATTAAAAATTTTACTATAAAAATGCATTAAAATAATTTTACTAAATAAAAATGCATTAAAATAATTTTACTATAAAAATGCATTAAAAATAATTTTACTATAAAAATGCATTAAAATGATTTTACTATAAAAATGCATTGCAAATGATTTTACTGTTAAAATTCATTGCAAATTCTATCATTCTCATAAAAGAATCTAGCATAGTATAAATTGGAAATTTACCTGTATTCTATAATAGCGTTCCTTATATTGTCCTAAATATTATATCTGGTAATAATTCAATAAATTCATTTGACCTCTAACCACGATCAGCGTGTGTCAGCGTAACTTTGAAGTCAATGAAAGAAAAGTTAATTGAAATTTTAATGAATATATATATATATATATATATATATATATATATATATATATATATATATATATATATATATATATATATATATATATATTTAAAGGTAATTTTAGTGGATACTCGTATTTAAGTAGACGATCCGGTAATTTATTATTTATTTTCACCTACCGACCTAAATATTCGAGAAATCTTATTCAATGAAAATTTCTGTCCTTCAGGCCAGAGGACCCAACTTAACGGAGAGAAATTTCGCATCAGTAACTCCCTTTGCTCTGAGGGACCGGGTTCGATTCTTGCCTACGGGCGCAACAAACTCCTTTTCTCGAATATTCCGGCCGGTAAACGAAAATAAATAAATAGAGTGTTTAATAAATAAACGGAACATCTAATCAAATACGTGAATTCACTAAAAATAACGTTTAACGTGTTAAAAAATCTGTCTGATTAATAAAAATACATTCTAAATAAGTACATATATATATATATGTGTGTGTGTGTGTGAAAATATATAGAAAATAGGAAAGAACTTGTTAGCTAGTATTTTTGCTATTATTTTAAAAAAATAGTGCTCGATACAAAAGTAGATCGTAAATATAATTATTTATTTAAGAAGTTGTTTTAAAAATAAAGGTTCGGAGTGCTCGACCTTAATTAGGGATATATATATATATATATATATATATATATATATATATATATAGGAAAGGGGTCTTAAAAAGCCAGACAAACCTACCTACGTTTCACTTACGCAGATCGTCAGGGTAAACTAGCCAGTTTACCCTGATGATCCACGTAGGTTAAACATAGGTAGGTTTGTCTGGCTCTTTAGGTTAATTTAGTTTGCTCTACTTAGCGTATTGAGCACTTTGCTTAGTTATTTTTACTTTACTCGTGTCGGAGTTTTTTTTCTTTGAACTCTGAACTTAGATTCTAGACGATTATTTTCGCCGGAACTACATGTTCTTAATTCTTTTTTTTTTTAACCTTTTTTCCCTTGGGTATTGGTTTGTTCATTTACAAACTAAAACACCTAAGGTTTTGCCGGACGAGTATAGCTGCTTATATTTTTAAGATTATTAACAGTATTATATATATATATATATATATATATATATATATATATATATATATATATATATAATTATTTATTTAAAAAATATGATTCCAAATCGCGACATAAGAAGTCCCATGTTTCAAAACAAGAGCCGAAAACTTCAATATAATTATTTAAATTAAATTGAGTTAAAAAGCTCTGTTCCATCTTCAAGCGAAATTTTTTGGAATAACGTATTTCTGAAATTTACGTGTTTTAAAAAAATTGAAATCAAAATTTCCATGTTAACAGCTAGGGCGAATTGTTTGGTTGGGTAGGCAGGTGTTGGGTGTTAAATATATATATATATATATATATATATATATATATATATATATATATATATATACTAGCAGCATGGCCCGGCGTTGACTGTGCTTGATTCAAAAATCGTACGACTCATACAGCAATCGCTCTCACTTGACTTAAAATATTTTGCCCTTCCTTGCCTTTTTAAAGGAGTGCCCTTTTCCGTGCTGATGTTGCTACATGCCTTACTTCTTGCCTATCTCACACTGCGAATTTTTTTCTAAGCTCTATACTAAACATTAAATCTGTTACGAAAAAGAACTAAACAAAATGAACACAAAACGATCAGCTTTAAAAAGGACTCGTAACTGGAAAAACTGAATGAAAAAAAAGAATGTTAACAACAAATACATTTTCACACCCAACCCAGTTCTGTGGAATCAGAATCAACGTTGAGTTTAAGCAAGCGAATGAGCCAATTGGAGTAAAATGCCATGCAGATTTGAATTTTCCCACTTGTGATGAATGCAGCTATCGATTTTTTTTTGCATGCTATCATGTAAGTTAACATTCGTGTCAGTCAGCTGTTGGCTCTCATGCTGGCCAATAGAATCTTCTTGCCTATTCGTGGCAGCCAGCTATTGGCTCTCACTCTGGCCAGTAGAAAATGACCGCAAATTACATGAAAACTGCCGTAGAAGCACGAAAAAATCGATTGTTTCCACTATCGATGGGAGTTGGGAAATGCAAAGTCAGTGTTGGCCTTCTCGCTAACTTGGAGCATGTGCATGTAAATTTTGGTGCAAATCCGTCGAAAATTGCGACCGTGCATTCGTTACACACACATCCTGTTTTATATATATATATATATATATATATATATATATATATATATATATATATATATATATATATATATATATATAAATATATATGTATATATATATATATATATATATATATATATATATATATATATATATATATAAAAAAAGAAATTCGGATTACTAACACAAAAACAGAAAATGTCTCATATCGAGAATATTTAACATTGAAAAACATAAGGAAAAAATTAATTATTTTTAATATGTGGAAATCTCCGCCTTTTACCTGAAGACGGTCGCGAGACCAAAAACACGTGTAGTAAAATTATGGAAAACAAAGCATAACATTTTTTTCTAAATAAATCCACATTACAACCAAAAACGTTTGTGACACCTCTCTTCTCTTCTTTTTAACATATATATATATATATATATATAGTCTTCTAGAATTTACATGTAGAGATGGAAGTGAATCTAATGTACTAAGTAGTTAGGGGCGAAAGAAAAGGAAGGGAAAAAGTAAGAAGGGGAACGGAAAAGAAACAAAGAAAGAAAGACAGAAAGAAAGAAACAAACAAACAAGAAAGAAAGAAAGAAACAAAGAAACAAAGAAACAAAGAAAGATATAAAGAAAGAAAGAAAGAAAGGGAGACAGAAAGAAAGAAAGAAAGAAACAAACAAACAAACAAACAAACAAACAAACAAACAAACAAGCAAACAAAAGAAAGAAAGAAGATTAAAACTATTCAAAATGAGTAGATGTCAGGGGTGGAAAGAAAGAAAGAAAGAAAGAAAGAAAGAGCCTCATCCTCTTCCCATAGCCTCTTTTTATGAAAATGTCCAAAGAACGAAAGTGGGGGATATTTTCTTCGATAACTGTATTTCTAAATTATTTTTTTTAGTAACAACGTAATTCCCCACCTGATGAGACGTCTAAAAAATGTTTTCCCTTTTTCGACGTTGAAACAAAAATGTACAGTTTTGTAGTGGATAAGTGCATGTTCTAATGTAACACTGCATAAGATAAATAAATATTTACTGCTCTACTTTATGTATGAGCACTATTTTTAAATTAATGTTTTGACTACTGTAATCCTACTGTTCATTCTCCTACACACACATATATATATATGGGTCCTTCCCTATAACTACAGAATGAACTCTTCCTAACACTGTGTATACTACGCCTCTCAAGAGAGAGGGACGAATCGAATCGAGCCGATAGTAGTTCACTCCAAACCAGACTGACAGTCATACTAACATCTTCCACATCTTGTATTATTGTTTCGTGTAATATACCTTCGTTATTTCTAATCTTGTGTTCGTGTTGTTCTTCCTTGGTCCTAACCTGGACCATAACATATATATATATAATAATAATCGACTCTCCCGTCGATATTCGACGTATGAGGGTCAAGCAGATCAGTTTCCAGGAAACCGACAGCCCGACACCGGCACATGAGATTTGATTATAGTGGAGAAGGCCTCGTGCAGGACCATCCACACTTTTTGAAGGGCCGAATACAGAGACCTGGTGCACCGAATGCCACAAGGTTCCCAAAAGACCCTACGCAGGTTTTGAATTCAGAGTTGTCCTTCTCCTAGACCAGTTGCCATCCAAGGCTATAGAACCCAGTCTGTCCTGTTAATTTACCCATAGCTGGAGGGAGAGGAAGAGGATTCATACCTTTCCCAAGGGTATTAGCGCGTAAGTGAATGTAATGGATTCGACTGGAATTGAACTCGGCTCTGCGAATCCTCAATCAAGCCACTATCCATCACTCCACTGTGCCTCCTATATATATATATATATATATATATATATATATATATATATATATATATATATATATATATATATATATATATATATATATATAGGAGGCATATATATATATATATATATATATATATATATATATATATATACTAGCTTAAAAGACACTCTGTCGGGCGGCATTTAAGCTAGCTCCCGCGAAGGGCACTTGATTGAGCCTTCATCACAGTAAGTACTGAGGAGTAGACGTGATAGGCTGCAATAAACTACAGAAGAACTCAAAATTGATCGCTGCATTTAAGTATTGCATTGATTTCTAAACTTATCTTTTAAAATTTCAACGATAATTCTTCTGCCGCCGCTTAATTTAAAGACAATTTGATGAACGTAGGTCCTTACTTTTCGTGCAACCAATTATTTTTATTTCATTGGTGACTTTCTCAAGAATTCACAATTAATTTCGATTATTCCCAAATTTATTTTGAAACGCTGCAATTTGTGAACAGTAATTTTTACATTTGAACATGAGCTATTGAAAGTTAAAGAGTTGTGTTCCTTTAATTGTTTTTATCAGTAGAAGCCAAGATGGCGGAATCCGAAGACAATAGCAATAAGGAAAAATTGGGAATACAAAAATTCAGAATTGCGGGTCCAGATCCGGTCTAGAAATTTTTTAAATTGCTCACGGAGTCGGTTGATTCCAAAATGGTATGAAATGTTGGGATATAGCCTCTAGGAGTAAAGGTGCCTGACATTCGCATTTATCATATATATATATATATATATATATATATATATATATATATATATAAGTTTGCTTGTGTTTGTTTAGTGGGATATCAACGTTTATGGATTACTAAATCTGGGATATTTTGTACGCAATTTTATTTTTGTAGATAATAATGCTTTAGGGATTTCAGTCTTACTAATTAACCCATAGTTGGGGGAGAATTCATACATTTCCCAAGAGTATTTGTGCGTAATTGAATATAACGAACTCAACTGGAATTCGAACTCAGCTCTCCGATCAACAGTTCCAAGCCATTATCCATAACACAACCTGCACATCCAACCTACAGTACGTGGTATTCCCAAGCAGTCACCGATCTAGGTACTTACAAGGCTCGACGTTGCTTAACTTTGGTGATCGTACGAGACCCAGTGTTTCAATGTGATATGGTCGTAAGCCATAGTACCTGCACCTGGTATTCCCAAGCGGTCACCCATCTAGGTATTGACCAGTTTCGACATTGCTTAACCTTGGTGATCGTACGAGACCTGGTGTTTCAATGTAATATGGTCGTAAGCCATAGTACCTGCACATCCAAGCTTAAAGCACCTGGTATTCCCAAGCGGTCACTCATCTAGGTACTGACTAGTTTCGACATTGCTTAACCTCGGCGATCGTATGAGAACACGTGTTTCAACGTGATATGGTCGTAACAATAACCTTCACCGATCTTCGGTGTATAGGACGCAGCGTGGTATATGGATATATTTTATAGGAAGAAAATGCTTCCTATAAACAGCAAAATAGAGTAAAAAAAACATTTTCGAATGATTCAGTCGTAAGGAAATCATCTTGGCAATATTGCAATGATCAAGCATAACAATTTCTTAGAAGAAGGGGTGCAAAAACATGAGAAAAGATATTTATTTATGAGAGGTAATAATCATAAGGTACCTGGTATGAATCCTCGTCTTCTCCCCCAGCTATGGATTAATTAGTAACACTTGTATTACTAAATAATTATTAACGACCAAAAAAATTTAAAAAAACTTTTTAAAATTTCCGACTTTAAATAACCGGCAAATGGTTGATAAGTCATAAAAAACTAACCAATCATATTTTTATTCCATCTTATTCCGTAGATCATAATTCCTGATCTCTTCATCTGTGAGGAGATTGTTCAACCTTCACTGCTATATAGGATGACCGACATTATGTTTTATAAGTCTACCATTCATCCATGCTTTGAATATTGCTGCCACATATGGCCCGGTGCTCCTGCTATATATTTAGAGATTCTTGATAAAATCCAAAGAGGAATCTACAATGTTCCTCTCCAGAATCTATCTTACATATTTATAAGTCTACCATTCATCCAAAATATTGCTGCCACATATGGAGGAATCTACATATTTAGATTGAATCTACAATGTTTCTCCAGAATCTATCTTACATTTATAAGTCTACCATTCATCCATGCTTTGAATATTATATGGTCCGGTGCTACTGCTATATATTTAGAGATTCTTGATAAAATCCAAAGAGGAATGCAATGTTTCTCTCCAGAATCTATCTTACATATTTATAAGTCTACCATTCATCCATGCTTTGAATATGCCACATATGGTCCGGTGCTCCTGCTATATATTTAGAGATTCTTGATAAAATCCAAAGAGGAATCTACAATGTTTCTCTCCAGAATCGATCTTACATATTTATAAGTCTACCATTCATCCATGCTTTGAATATTGCTGCCACATATGGTCCGGTGCTTCTGCTATATATTTAGAGATTCTTGATAAAATCCAAAGAGGAATCTGCAATGTTTCTCTCCAGAATCTATCTTACATATTTATAAGTCTACCATTCATCCCTTTGAATATTGCTGCCACATATGGTCCGGTGCTCCTGCTTTGAATATAAAATCCAAAGAGGAATCTACAATGTTTCTCTCAGAATCGATCTTACATATTTATAAGTCTACCATTCATCCATGCTTTGGTGCCACATATGGTCCGGTGCTCCTGCTATATATTTAGAGATTCTTGATAAAATCCAAAGAGGAATCTACAATGTTTCTCTCCAGAATCTATCTTACATATTTATAAGTCTACCATTCATCCATGCTTTGAATATCCACATATGGTCCGGTTTTCTGCTATATATTTAGAGATTCTTGATAAAATCCAAAGAGGAATCTGCAATGTTTCTCTCCAGAATCTATCTTACATATTTATAAGTCTACCATTCATCCATGCTTTGAATATTGCTGCCACATATGGTCCGGTGCTCCTATATATTTAGAGATTCTTGATAAAATCCAAAGAGGAATCTGCAATGTTTCTCTCCAGAATCTATCTTAAATATTTATAAGTCTACCATTCATCCATGCTTTGAATATTTGCCACATATGGTCCGGTGCTCCTGCTATATATTTAGAGATTCTTGATAAAATCCAAAGAGGAATCTGCAATGTTTCTCTCCAGAATCTATCTTACATATTTATAAGTCTACCATTCATCCATGCTTTGAATATTGCTGCCACATATGGTCCGGTGCTTCTGCTATATATTTAGAGATTCTTGATAAAATCCAAAAGAGGAATCTGCAATGTTTTCTCCAGAATCCGGCATTCATCCATGCTTTGAATATTGCTGCCACATATGGTCCGGTGCTTCTGCTATATATTTAGAGATTCTTGATAAAATCCAAAAAGGAATCTGCAATGTTATTGGTGCTTACCCGGCATCTCGGCTTCAGTCCCTTTCACAATAACGTAATGTAGCTTCCCTGTGTCTTTTCTATAAATATTTTCATGGTAATTGTTCTGATTAATTTTCCTGTGTGGTACCTTGAATTTATTCATTTAAACGAATACTAGATTGGCAACAATGTTTCACTGTTTTACAGTTGAAATTGCTAGATGTAACCGCAAGTTCTATGCTAACTGTTTCTTCTACCACACTTCTTACTTGTGGAACTCTCTTCCGGCTTCTTCCTTCCCAGTCAACTTTGACCTTCAAAAGTTTAAATGCAATGTCAATCGTTATCTTCTGTCTTAAATCCTGTCCATTTATTGTCCTTTCTCCTTAATAGTGTCTTCTTTATCTTTTTTCTCATATTCTCTAACATTGTATCTTAGTGACTTTATTGCCTTGCTTGTGGTGAAATAATTTAAAAAGGCCAAAATAGTGGCGCACCCAGTGAGGATCACACTCTCTACACAAGCAATGCTCCGTGCGACTCGCTCGTTAGCCATTGCTCTATGTAATTCTCCCATAGGTATACAATAATTATTTCCTACACTTAGCACAAGGCCATAATAGTGGGGCACCCAGTGAGGATAAAACTCTCTCCACTAGCGATGGTCTGTGAGACTAGCTCGTTAACCATTGCATTAAGTCAGTCTACCTGTATATATATTTACTTGGTTAGCACAAGGCCATAATAATGGGGCATTAAGTGAGGGATCAAACTGTCTACACTAGCGATAGTCTGTGAGACTAGCTCGTTAACCATTGCATTAAGTCAGTCTACCTGTATAGATATTTACTTGGCTTAGCAGAAGGCTATAATAGTGGGGCACACAGTAAGGATCAATCTCTCTATTCTAGCAATTGTCTGTGCGTCTGACTCGTTAACCATTGCTTTATGTCAGTCTACCTATATAGATATTTATTTGGCTTAGCACAAGGCCATAATAGTGGGGCACCCAGTGAGGATCAAACTGTCTACACTAGCGATGGTCTGTGAAACTAGCTCGTTAACCATTGCTCTACGTCAATCTACCTGTATAGGTCTTTAGTTAGCTTAGCACATGGCCATAATAGTGGGGCACCCAGTGAGGATCAAACTCGCTATACTAGCTTGTTAACCATTGCTCTGTATCAGTTTCCCTGTATAGATATTTACTATCTACTAAGCATAGCGCAAGGCCATAATAGTGAGACACCTAGTGAGGATCAAACCCTGTACTTGCAATGTTCTGTGTGGCTAGCTCTTTAACCATTGCGCTACGTCAGTCTGCCTGTGTAGATATTTACTATTTTCTAGGATGAACACGTGGTCATAATAATGTGTCACTAAGTCAGGATCGAACTCTCGACATTAGCAATGGTCTGCGAGACTAGCTTGTTAACCATTACTCTATGATAGTCTCCTGGTATAGATATTTACGAAGTTTAACACAACGTCAGATTAGGGGAACACCTTGTCAAGATCAAACTTTCTACAATAACAGCGGTCTGTGACAATTACTTGTTAACTATTGCTCTATGGCAGTCGATATTTATTTACAAGGTCATAATATTGAGGCACCTCGTGAGAATCGAACTCACAACATTAACAATGATCTGCGAGACTAGCTTCAGAACTATTACACCCTCCCAATGTAGATATTTAGCTTAGGCCAAGATTATAATAATGGTGCTCCCAAGGAATATCCAACTCTTTACGTTAACAATTGTCTTTGAGACAAACTTGATGAAAACTGATCCATGGCATTGTCTCTCAGTAGATATATAGTTACAGCAATGATTCCCAACGTGGGGTGCATTACCCACCGTTGGGACATGGTAATATTTTGGTGAGGCATGCGTAGGATATGTACCCTTCGGTTTACAATACCAACAGAATAAGGGGGCAATTCGAGAATGAGTTATTAACAGTGAATTGTTTTCTAGTGAGCTCAAATTTCATTTTGCATTATTATTTCATGATTAAAATAATCAAAGTATATTACAGAATTAGCTTTCATTCAAATATTTTATATTTCTTCCTTTCAATTCTCTATTATATATTTTCAATATATATATATATATATATATATATATATATATATATATATATATATATATATATATATATATACTGTCATTTTATTTTTTATTTTTCTCTTTCATGGACGCCATGGTCATTGGAGGCTTGTTTAGAGACATTAATTGCCTTTTAAGCTTCCTTCACGTGAATTGCAGTAAAATTTTGAATATGTAAGAATTAAATATTACAAGGAGACACCGGAATTTTCGAAATATCAAACTGGGGCATGGCCCCAAATTCGTTATGAACCACTGTGTTAAAGCGACAACTTCATTTTTCGGCTGGATGTCACTAAACGAAGAAACTTGAGGCTTAAACTGAATAAATTGGTGTCCATTATAAAATCTATCTGTAGCTGACATGACGCATAAGGATGTCACTAACAGTCATTTTGGGATGAGCTCAAATTTCATTTTGCATTATTATTTCATGATTAAAATAATCAAAGTATATTACAGAATAAAACTTTCATTCAAATATTTTGAAACGATATATATATATTTAACTATCTTTTTGTTTTTTTAATTTGTCTCTTTCATGGACGCCATGGTCTTTGGTGGCTTGTTTAGAGACCAAATTAATGGCCTTTTAAGCTTCCTTCATGTGAATTGCAGTTAAATTTTGAATATGTAAGAATTAAATATTAAAGTAGGGGGCACCAGAATTTTAGAAATAGCAAAGTGGGGCATAGCCAAAAATTGATTGGGAACTTCGTATTTACAGGATTTATAATACTGAGTGTGAGAATCGAACATTCAGCTTTAGCAATTGTCTGTGAGATTAGCTTAGATCAAAGCTATAGTCTGGCTCGCAACAAAAACAGTAACATTATGAAACCGGGTGACCTAACCATCTTGCGACGTCTTAGTTAAGATAAATGCGAGCCTGTAACAATATATTTTGTGTTTGTTGCATTCTTTTTCTCGTTCCTGTCGTCGTCGCAACAGCACTAAGTGAATACCAATTGTGTACGAAGCAGAACCCCTCGCTTCATAATAAAGCCTCGAAGCAAAAAAGGGTCATGACAGACGATGTCATTAAAACATTGTAATAACGATTATAACATCGAGTTAACCTTTGATCCCGATTCTGCGTCATCGGGGAAAGAGGTCCAAATTCTGTTGACGGGCAGGACAAACAGATTAATTCAAATCCTTCCAACATGTGATAATGTCGTGTTAGTCAGAGTTTCCATGGAGACGTCTTGATGCTAGGGTTGCGAAATATTGCCACACCTTAAATGGCGGTGTGTGGGTGGGGGAGTTAGAAATACGGGTAACATTAGTACAGCCGCGAAATCCACAGTATCTAGTAAGTGATAAAACCGGTCGGGTAAGAGAACGAAGCGTGTGTGTGTGTGTGTGTGTGTGTGTGTGTGTGTGTGTGTGTGTGTGTGTGTGAGAGAGAGAGAGAGAAAGAAAGAGAGAGTGAGAGAGAAAAGAGAAAGAGAGAGAGAAAAAGAAAAAAGTGAGAAAGAGAGAGTGAGAGAGAGAAAGAGAATAAAAAGAGAGAGTGTGAGAGAGAGAGAAAAAAGAGAGAGAAAAAGAGAAAAAGACAGAAAGAGAGAGAGTGAGAAAAAGAAAGTGAGAGAGAAAAAGAGAGAGAAAGTGAGAGAGAGAAAAAAGAGAGAGTGAGAGAAAAAGGGACAGAAAGTGAGGGAGAAAGAGAGAAAAAGTGAGAGTGAGAGAGAAAAGAGAGAGAGTGAGAGAGAGAAAAGAGAGAGAGAAAGAGAGAGTGAGAGATATAGAGAAAAGAGAGAGAAAGAGAGAGAGTGAGAGAGAGAAAGAGAATAAAAAAGAGAGAGAGAGAAAGAAATAGAGAAAAGAGAGAGAGAGAGAAAAAAGACAGAAAGAGAGAGAGAAAGAGAGAGATTGAGAGAGAGAAAGAAAGAGAGAGAGAAAGAGAGAAAAAAGACAGAAAGAGAGAGAGAAAGAGAGAGATTGAGAGAGAGAAATAAAGAGAGAGAGAAAGAGAGAAAAAAGAGTTAGAGAGAGAGAACGAGAGAGAGAGAGATAAAGAAAGAGAGAGAGAAAGAGAGAAAAAAGAGTTAGAGAGAGAGAACGAGAGAGAGAGAAAGAGAGAGAGAGAAAGAGAGAAAATGAATGAGTGAGAGAGAGAGAGAAAGTGAGAGAGAGAAAGAAAGAGAGAAAGAGAAAGAGAGAGAATAAGAGAAAGAGTGAGAGAGAAAAAGAGAAAGTGAGAAAAAGAAAGAGAGAGAAGGGTGGCTAGAAAAGAAGTAAGGAGAACCGGGTGGGAAATATTTCTTTTAAGGTGTCAGATCTTTAGTGGTTAACAGGAAATACAACAGACAACCGAAGGCGGACTCGATTAGCGAAAGATGCCTTTTAAAAGCTAAGTCAAATACAATAGAATCCCTCATATCCGGAATCACTCATATCCGGAATCCCGCATATCCGGAATCACTCATATCCGAACTTGATTTTGATGTGTATATTTGAACTATATTTCTATTTTTCTTGAAATTTACTTTGGATAATTGCTTATACTTATTTCACCGTAATTGCTTGAATTGGTGCAAAAGATGATTGGAATAAGAGGAAAGGATGACAACGAGACACATCTGCAACAAGATAGCGACGAGATGCATGATTGTAATGAAACTGGACTGAAATTCAAAAATCTATTGAAAAGTTTATCAGTTTTATGAAAAGAAAGCCAGCATTCATCTATGAAGCTTGCAATAACGTACGCAGAGTTAAAAAATGTCTTTCGTTTAAAAAATTTCAAGAACAAAAGCAAAACGAAATGCGGAAAAAGTTGAGAATGACATTAGAAGAGAAAGAATCATCAGGCAACAATGATTAAAAAATCCTCGTTACATTATTTGTTTTGCATACGTGGCATAATTAATTTAAATGAATTTTCTTTAACATTACATAATTTATTTCTTTTTCCTTAAAAGCCAATTCCGTTATATTTCACTCACCATTAGCTTATTTTGTTTACTATAAAACATTGAAAATAAATATTAAACCTGATTTCAGTTCTTTTATTTTAATCTAAATATAATCCCTCATATCCGGACTTCGTAACCAAATCCTTATATCCGGAAGGCCTTCTTAGTCCGATTGTCAAAGAATCTACTATATTAAGAAACAGGAACATTTCGTTAAACGAGTATTGAAAACTTATGTAATATCGGTCAGCCTATATGGCAGTGAATGCTGGACAATTTCCTCACAGATGAAAAAATGATCTGAAATGTGGAACTACTGAAGGATGCTGAGAATAATATAAACTGAAAATGTCATTGATTCGTTTTTTACGGACTATCAACCCTTTGCTGATTATTTAAAGCCAGAAATTTTTGTTTAGAGTGTAAGATTTTTTTTTAGATAATAATTTAGTGATTCAAGTTTTACTAATTAATCCATAGCTGGGGAGAGAAGAGGCTGATTCATATCTTTCCCAAGTGAATATAACGAACCCAACAGGAACTCAGCTCTCCGATTAACAATTCCGAACAGTTATCCGTTACACCAGCCGCACATCCACGCTTACAGCACCTGGTATTCCCAAGCGGTCACTCATCTAGTTACTGACCAGGCTCGACGTTGCTTAACTTTGGGGATCGTACGGGAACCGGTGTTTCATTGTGATATGGCCGTAGGCCGTGGAAATGTCAACAACGACGAAGTTTTGATTACAATGGAAGCAAAAAGGTCATTTATACTTAGAACCAGAGGACAGCCGAACTGTCTAGGGCACATAACGAGGAAAGATGCTCGGGAAATTTGACACTCACAAGTCATATTGAAGGGATGGAAGAAAGCAGAGCAGAGCCTACCTAATATGCTTACGTAAATGGTTGACGGAACCGGGGATTAGAATAGATAGCAAGAAAAGATGGGTAAGGTCAATAAAGGACAGGATGTTGTCCACGTCTTCAAGGGACGCGGCGCCTAAAAAAAGAATAGTAAAATTAGCCGTATCCATACCTCGCCCTACGCTGTTAATTGGTTCCAGAGCTCACGACTTAGGTCGAAAAATGACTTATGTCGAAATAACCACACTATAAACCGCAAATAAGCATTCTCCATTGCATACTACAGTATTTACGATATGTACGTACAGTACTCTGAATAAAATATTTAATTTCCACCTTAACTTCCAGAGATATAGCTTTACCCTTAGCATTAGCACTTGCACTGGGACTTTTCTTCGGAGCCATTGGCAAAAATGTATTCCAAACCACAGTAGAAATGTAATTGAAAGAACGTTAACGGCAGAGCACAGATGTAAACCAGTCTGAATTCAAAATGGGTATTGGAGCGGAAAAAACGCACGAATGCCGACTGTCGGCAGTAATTTGAAATATGAAGATCTATTGAACATAATTTATTACACTAATTGTTTTGTTTTTGATGATTCTATTATATATATATATATATATATATATATATATATATAATATTTTATTTGATTATTTGAAATTTATTTTATTATAATTTTATATGTTTATTGCTATTTTAGTGTTTTGACGTTTCTAATATTTTTAACGGCCGACGTAAACTCGAGTAAAACGACGTAAGGCGAGTCTTATTTTTCCATATAATATTTACGAAAAACCGACATATCTTCGAAAATGACTTAACTCGAAGCGACTTAAGACGGGGTATCATTGTATTGTTATCATATTTGGGCGGGAGCTGCCCAGATTGCAGTCTCCAGGTTCGATAGAGTTCAAAAGCGTTTCCCAGTCCTTACCACATACCAACATCTCTCTTACAAGCGGGTTATGGAGAGCCTCTCACCGCTCTATCGCTCATTCCATGGAAAGTGCTCGGATGAACTACATTTCTTGGTTCCGCCAGCTCTGTAATTCACGGCTAGGACCAGCCATGCAACTCATATTGGGGTTTATCATTTGTTTCTTGTTTAGGATCGGGTTTCCGGTTCCTTCTAAAGTCTACTTCAACTTTATACTTCTAACGTCTCCACCTAAACTCTGAAATGTTATTTATTTATTTTCTTCCTTCAGTAGGAGTAGATAGGTTTTTTCAATAGGAGTAGAGGTTTATCCTTGTTTCCTGTTTAGGATTCGGTTTCCGCTTCCTTCTCCAAAGTCTACTTCAACTCTTGCTTCTAACGTCTCCGCCTAAACTCTGAAATGTTATTTATTTATTTTCTTCCTTCAGTAGGAGTAGATAGGTTTTTTCAATAGGAGTAGAGGTTTATCCCTTGTTTCCTGTTTAGGATTCGGTTTCCGCTTCCTTCTAAAGTCTACTTCAACTCTATACTTCTAACGTCTCCGCCTAAACTCTGAAATGTTATTTATTTATTTTCTTCCTTCAGTAGGAGTAGATAGGTTTTTTGAATAGGAGTAGAGGTTTATCCCTTGTTTCCTGTTTAGGATTGGGTTTCCGGTTCCTTCTAAAGTCTACTTCAACTCTATACTTCTAACGTCTCCACCTAAACTTTGAAATGTTATTTATTTTCTTCCTTCAGTAGGAGTAAATAGGTTTTTTTGAATAGGAGTAGAGGTTTATCCCTTGTTTCCTGTTTAGGATTGGGTTTCCGATTCCTTCTGAAATATTTTCATTCACTTTCACACTTAATATCAATCTTGCGTCATTGTGGCATTATCGCCTTGCTTGGAGTGAATTAATTAAATATATATGGAGTACCGCAGCTCCTATTTGAGAAGGAGCTGCCCATTCCTTACTTTGCAGTTTTGTAGAGTTCAAAAGCGCGTCCAAGTCCTTGTCGTAGAAGAATTATTTTACACTCTACAACCTCTCTCTCTCTCTCTCTCTCTCTCTTAGAGGCGGGTTATGGAGAACCTCTCACCGCTCTATCGCTACTTCCATTGCGCCAGGTCTGACCTTCACGGCTAGGATCAGCCATGCTACTCACATTCTAGCAAGCCACCCACATTCCATCCGTGTTCCAGTGGTGAGATGGAAGTTCCTCTGGAGCAGCTTCTTCCAGCGAACCGCTGCTCCGTAGAACCGACTCCCAGGGGGATGTTTCCCCGATCACTACTATCTCAATAACCGTTATCTTCTCCTCCTAATTAAAAATAATTAATTAAAAACCAATTTTAAATTTACGTAAACTCGAGTAAAACAACGTAAGCCGAGTTTTATTTTTCCATATAATATTTAAGAAAAAACGACGTATCTTCGAAAATGACTCAACTCGAAACGACGTAAGCCGAGGTATCACTGTAAAATAATAACTATAGACAACGTTTAAAAGGAATATCTAAAATAATTTATTTGGTGTAACTGATTTGGCGATAATGTATTTAAAACGTTATATATTCATGACTGTATAGTATTTGCTTTTGTCAATATAACAAAATACTTAATAATTACTATATGTCAGAGTTTCTCAACCTGGGCGATATCGCCCACCGGTGGGCGATTTCAACTGTTGGGTGGGCAACGCGCAACGGAACTGAAAATGGTGGACGATTGGAAATGTTGTTGGACGGTATAGGGTTTTAATTATTAAAAAGATATTTCAACATATGATACCAGAAAAAATATTCAAAGAATATACACACAGACATCTGTTCTACTGACAACACAGATAAAACTATTATGATGTCGACCTTTAACAATGGACAACACTGAAGCTGATTAAAGTGTGCTTTATATCTATGTGAATAATGTTTTTTTTTACAATCAAATACAATATTTATTTGATGTTTAAACTCTTTCTACCACATTAGATAGTTTGGGCTACAGACATAAGATATTATCAGAATCTGGAGAACCTCATGACTTCAAAAAGTAAAAATTTAATCCATGCGTATAAGACGCATGTCTAAATTTTAGACTTAAAATATGAGACAAAAATTGTTTACTATAAACGAGTGAAAAGAAAAGAGGAAAAATTTGTTAGAATTGTGGAACTGACTCCCAAGAGGATGCTTCTCCGATCACTAAAATCTTAATTTGTTAATCTGTTCAAATAATAATCTGTTCAAGTCAATGTCGAACTGAACCCTTTATTTTGCTCACTGGGGTAGATTGTTCTAGTTCCACGTGCTATGTCTAATGGATGTCAGTTATCAGCTATCTCCTGTTAAATTCCCGTCTCCAAGTTCTCCACCGCCATAACCAGGTATTGAACTCACTCTCTTTAGGTCCTGCCACTGGATCTAACTAACGTATTTATTCACTGTGTCCGAATAATGTAAATAGTGTACATAATACCTCATATCAGAAATATAGACAGATAGTGTGGAATTTGTTTTACTAGCCAAAGATGTCTTTCAAAAGCTAAGCAGAGTTTGAAGAAAAACTTCCTTAGAATCAATGAAAGAAAACTTAACTTACGTAATATCAGTCCTCTTATATGGCAGTGAATACTGGACAATCTCCTCACTGATGAAGAAGAGACTTGAAGCAAGAGAAACAAAGAAAAGACTACTGAATTGTTATGTAATATCATTCCTCCTCTATGGCAGTGAATGCTGGACAATCTCCTCACAGATAAAGAAGAGACTTGAAGCAAGAGAAACAAAGAAAAGACTACTGAATTGTTATGTAATATCATTCCTCCTCTATGGCAGTGAATGCTGGACAATCTCCTCACAGATGAAGAAAAGACTTGAAGCAAGAGAAAGAAAGAAAAGAGAACTGAACTGTTATGTAATATCAGTCCTCCTCTATGGCAGTGAATGCTGGACAATCACCTCACAGATGAAGAAGAGACTTGAAGCAAGAGAAACAATGAAAAGAGTACTGAACTGTTATGTAATATCAGTCCTCCTATATGGCAGTGAATGCTGGACAATCTCCTCACAGATGAAAGAAGAGACTTGAAGCAAGAGAAACAAAGAAAAGAGGACTGAATTGATATGTAATATCAGTCCTCGTATATGGCAGTGAATACTGGACAATCTCCTCACAGATGAAGAAGAGACTTGAAGTAACAGAAATATGGTTCTACAGAAGGATGCTGAGGATACCGTGGACCGAACATGTGTACATCGATGAGGTTCGATCCAAAATTGATCAAAAAAGAAAATTATATTTAACATCACTTAGAGACAATTGACAATTCTGGGTTACATAATGAGGAAAGAAGACTTAGAAAATCTGATATTCACGGGGCAGACTGAAGGCAAGAGGGACAAAATAAAACAACGTGTTGATAGATTTGAGTAAATATATGGCGGAAAAATTTTTAGGACAGATAATAAAAATACCAAATTTATTACGTTCTCCAAAGAAAAGGAAATTGGGAAGAGCCATGATCGCCTACGTCCTGAATTGATACAACACAAAAATGAAGAAGGAGAAGAAGAAGAAGAAGAAGGAGAATGAACTTAGGTAAATAGATGGCGAACAATGTTTAAGAGAGATAACAAAAAGGAAAAAATTACTAAGAGTTACAAAGGACAGGAAATTGTGGAGAGCCATGATCGCATATGTCCTCAAGGGTCACAACACAAAGAAGAAGAAGAATGTGCTTAAGCCAATGAATGGAGAAACAAGTTTTAGGTGAGATAACAAAAAGACAAAATTTATTTAGTGTTACAAAGGAAATTGTGGAGAGCCATGATCGCCTACGTCCTGAAGGGGCACAACACAAAGAAGAATAAGATGAATGAGCTAGAGTAAATGGATGGCGGAACAAGTCAAAATTTATTAA